ACTAACCTTTATGGCTTTGAAGAACCAGATATTTACACCTTTCTTTCTGCATGTGTGTGTGCGTATGTGTGTTTTGTATATATTTTTAACAGTTGACAGCTGTTTTAGAGCATACAGAGATGCCAAGCTGAATGAGGGTCTTGATTACTTCAAGATTAGCTATCTAAAGTTTCTATTCATTTTAAGTGTTGTTAGTTGGAAGAGTCATTAGTCACTTCCTTGTCTCATAGAACATCAGCATACATTTACATTGTTAATGAACATTTGGGGTAAATGAATTAATGGCACTTTTAAACATCAATTCAGTACTAATAATTCTGTATGTCATAGAAATGTTAGGCTAGGATATAAACGAAAAGCCTTTTCAGTAAAGGTAACTACTCATTCCTGCAAACAATAAAGGATAAAATTAATTTAAAATGTTTTTTAACCGGGTTAAAAAAACAAAAAAATCTCAATATTTCATGAAATAGGCAAGTGAAAAATATGCACTTAAAATACACAAACACACACACATACACACCCCACACACAGAACTATGTTTTAAAATAAGCATAAAAGCCAAAAAATAGTATAAAAAATTTTAGTGCAAATATTTTATATACTTGTTAAGAAAAATACATAGTAATTTTTAAATTATTTACTTATAGAATCACTGTTTGAAAAATAATTTGATTTATTCAATTATGAATACATCCTTCTAGGTATGATAGGTCAATATGGGCCAGTCCTCAGAAGGAAGGTTGGGCAATCTACTTCCGTAGTGATACCACCTTGGAAACCCAAGGAGGAGTCACTATCTATCAGATCCGACTCAATGACAGTGTGTTTGGGTTTCTTTTGGTTTATAGGTGTTATATTTTGAGGAAATATCACTATGAAAGGTGTATTTGCAACTGAGTTATTAAAAAGCTAAAATTGAAATGGACATAATTTTTTCAAATTATCAAAACTTTAAGCAGTAGTCTTTTTGAGTTATTAAATAACACATAAAATTAAAAAATCAAAATTAAAAAATAAATTGTATAGTAAATTTTACTATTATCAATAAAAATAATGGTGGCCTTTTATGATCCAGAAGTTTTTCAAGATACACAAAAAAGCATAAACTCTTCATAAAAACAAGATTTTGTGTACTAAAGAAGCAGTCATTTTTAATAGGCATCATTTTTTTTTAATTCCCAATTATTTTTTAATGACAGACTTGAATGAAAATAAATTTAAAACATTGAAGCATACTAAACACATAGAGTTATTGTGACTAATAAATGATTTTTAAAATTAGATCTCACAATCCTGATACATATATTTCATGAATAAAAAACTATAAGTAGTCAAGAAACCATCAAGCATTTTGCAAATTACTTAAGAAAAACCAAACTAAAAAAAAAAAAAAAAACAGGAGGTCTGGTAGCGTAGTGCTTAAGACATTTGACTGCTAACCAGAAGGCTGGTGATTCAAAAGGAAGGTTAGGCAATCTACTTCCGTAGTGATACTGCCTTGGAAACCCAAGGAAGGGTCGCTATGAGTCAAAGAATTCCAGCAAACTCACTGTTTCCTTTCTAACCAACTAAGCTACTACTATCATTAAATGAAAATTGGGAAAATAATAGGGTTCTGAGGGCTCTGGTAGCATAGTGGCTAAGGCACTTGACTGCTAACCAGAAGGCTGGTGGTTCAAACCCACCAGCCACTCCTCAGAAGGAAGATGGGGCAATCTACTTCTGTAGTGATACTGCCTCGGAAACCCAAGGAGGAGTCGCCATGAGTCGGGTTCAACTTGACGGCACATAACAATAACAACAATATGGTTCTGTTACATACAGATTTGAAACATTTCAATAGGGTATTTTAAAACCCTTAATGTAATCTACCTTAACATGAGAAAATTCTATCTTTTAACTATTTAAATGTAAAACAAGATCAAGAACCTGAACGGGAAAGGCAATATATCAAAAGTGAGCGACCAACAAAATAACACTATGGAAAGGAAGACAAAGAGAAGTGCACAAGAAGTACAGACAACAAAGAAAAATACTTTTACATACACAATACTGCATTATCAGTAATAACAAACATTAATCCATGGGTAGATATGTAGGCAGATAGGCTGAATGATCAGGTATGTCTAGGCAAAAGGGATTATACCCATGACAAGTATGGCAGATGGTATTTTTACATATTTGTATTTCTATAAAAATGCCCATGTAAATAGAACTACCTGGGGGCAAAATTATGATAGCTTCTTAGCTAAAGCCAACCACCCTGAGAAGTGAGTTGTTGGACCTATGGGCTCAGGGCCACGGTCACGGGGGCATCAACTCAACTGGCATAACAAAAACCAAAATCAAACTCACTGCCATCAGGTTGATTCCAACTCATAACGACCCCCTTTGGGTTTCAGAGGCAGTAAATCTTTATGGAAGTAGATTGCCCAGTCTTCCTTCAACTGAGTGGCTGGTGGATTTGAACTGCCAGCCTTCTAGTAAGCAGTCAAATGTGTTAGGCACTATGTCACCAGAGTTCTTTTGGTATAACATACTACACAAAAACATCGTTCTACATCCTACTTTGGTGAGTAGCACAAATGGGATCTTAAAAGCTCGCAAGCATCCATCTAGATGCAACAACTGGTCTCTCCTCTGAAGTAAACAAGAATGAAGAAAACCAAAAGCACATGGACACAATTAGTCCAAGGTACTAGTGGGCTATGTGAACCTCAGCCTGTATAACCATGAGACTAGAAGAATGAGATGGTGCCGTGCTACTACTGTCAACCAGTTGGAAATGGATCAGTGCAGGAGATCCTGGAAAGAGTGGGAGAAAAACGTGGAACAAAACTCAAAATTATAAAAAAGACTAGGCTCACTGGTCTGAAAGACTGATGAAACCCCTGAGGCTATGGTCTGTAGTCACCTTTCAAACCTGGAAATGAACTCTCTTCCATGGCTTCCAGCCAAACAATATATAAGCATATAAGGTGAACATTTACATCAGGTAGATATATTCCTTAGAGCATACCTCACAACAATCAATCATGAGACATCAGAAGGAAAGTTTTTGTACAGAAAGATAGCTTAGAAGGCAGGAATGCACAGGAAAGGGACACAGGGAAAAAGTAACCACAAGGAGAAGTAGGGAAAGAGCTGTTACATTAAGGGGATTGCAATCAATGTCATGAAACAAAATGTGTAGGAACTGCTGTACGGAAAATGAATTTGCTCTGTAAACTTTCACCCAACTCACAATTAAAAAAGAAGAACCACTACCTAAATGTAAGCACTAAAACCATAAAGCTTTTAGAAGAAAATATAGTGGTAATGGTTTGGGACCTGCTTTATAACAATTGATTCTTGGATGTGACACTCAAAGCATGAGCAACTAAAGACTAAATAAATTGGACTCTCTCAAAATTATAAACTTTTGTTCATGAAAGGATTCTATCAACAAATGACGGGACAACCTACAGAATTGGAGAAAAATTTTGGGAACTATATATCTGATAAGGTTTAATATTCAGAATATACCAAAAATTCCTACAATATAACAACAAACAAACAACCTAATCAAAATATAAGCAAAAACTTAGACATTTCACCAAAGGGTGTGGGAGTAGGGACACAGACAAGAAACACGTGAAAACATGCTCAATATCATTAGTCATTAAGAAATGCAAATCAAAATCACAATGAGATATTACTTCATGCTCATTAAGATGGCTTTGGAAACAAACAAACAGAAACCAATTCCATTGCTTGCAAGACCATAAAATGGTACAGCCACTGTGGAAAAACACTTTGGCAGCTCTTCAAAAAGTTAAACAGAATTATCATATGATCCAGCAATTTTACTTCTAAGTATACATCTAAAAGAATTAAAAGCATATACTTGTATATCAACGTTCACTGAAGCACTGTTTACAATAGCCAAAAAGTAGAAACAGCCTAAATGTCCAATAGATGAATGGAAACAGTAAAATATGGTACAGATACACACCAGAATATTACTCAGCAATAAAGAGAGATGAAATTCTGATACATGCTGTGATATAAATGAGCCTTGAATACATTATGTTGAGTGCAATAATTCAGTCACAAAGGGGCAGATTTTATATGAATCCTCCTAGATATTTCATAGGCAAGTATATAGAGATCAAAGTTTTATGGTTAGCAGGGATGGAGTGAAGCAGGGAGAAGGGGGACTCATTGCTTAGGGGCACAGAGCTGCTGTTAAGGGTGGTTTTGGAAAATTTGGAAACGGATAGTGCTGAGGTTGAACAACATAACAAATGTAATTAATGTCACTGAATTGTACCTGCAAAAAATGTTGAAGTGTCAATGTTTTTGTTACATATATATGCACCAAAGGAGCTCTGGTGGTGGAGTGTCTAAGGCATTTGACTGCTAACCAGAAGGCTGCTGGTTCAAACCCACCAGCCGCTCCTCAGAAGGAAGGCTGGGCAATCTATTTCAATAGAGATAACTGCCTTGGAAACCCAAGGAGGGGTCACTATGAGTCAGATCCGACTCCATGGCAGTGGGTTTGTATTTTTGTTTTTGTATATACATACCAAAATTGAAAAAAGAAAAAAAAAAAAAAAGAAGGAAAATTTGACAAGTCTTTTATCCTAGAATAATCTCAATTTGTTGGGGTATGGGGAGTTATACTTGCAAAATCAACACCAAAACCTTGGCCTTCTTTAAAAAATACTTTGACAAAGGCCATTTTACATTTCAACATTCTTGTTTGGTTGGATATTCTTAAAAAGAATGACAGTGCGTGTAACTTGTGGTTAATATTTCTACCTATAATTGAAAGTTGACTTTTTGTGGTATTCTTTAGTGTCAGAGCACTCTACACACATTAGGGAAATGTTCTTAAAGTTGCCCTGCTCAGCTTCCTTGAGAGAATTACACATGTGAAGCAGGCAGAGCTAACTGGAGCCCTCTCTCTGCTAGGGTTTCCAGTACCAGCAGAAAACAACTATACAAAAACTCACCTCCAGACTTGGAGTAACTCGACAAGGGGTCAATGCCAACTTCTTGCTCTTCTGGCTGCAGAGGATGTCTAGTTTCAGATAAGGAATGATGATACATTGTTGGTACTGACCAATCTCTCCAAAAAATGACTACCTGGAAGGGGAAAAAATATAGAGAAAATAATTTTTTTTCTTTGTATTTACTGGGAATAAACACAAAACTGAAAGATTAAATGTGCATTACAGATATTAATAAGATTCCACAGTCTCCAGTGACTTACTACACACCAGTAGGCATAAGTAAAATGTGAAAACGGTGGCACAGAGTTTACGTTTAAACAATATTTTTCCAAAATCTGTTCTTTATTTGTAACTTTATACCTCATTGTTGAATCACATGTATTTTCAATAAACAATGGCACAAAAAGGAGCTCTGATGGCACAGTGCCTAAGGCATTTGACTGCTAACCAGAAGGGTGGGGGTTCAAATCCACCAAATGCTCTGTGGAAGGAAGAGGGGCAACCTACTATGACAAAGATTTACTGCCTTGGAAACCCAATAGGGATCGCTATGAGTTGGAATTGACTTGATGACAGTGGGTTTGATTTGGTTTGGAATGATACAAAAAATTGAAAAGTAAGTTAAATTATTCTCACATGAATAACATCCTTTTGTTTTACTGTCCAACTAATACATATTCCCAATAGAAACTTCCAAGATACAGAAAATAAGCATTAAAATAAGGAGCTCTAGTGGTGTAGTGGTTAAGGCATTTGGATGCTAACCAAAAGGCAGTGGTTCAAACCCCATAGGTACTCCACAAAAGAAAGATGGGACAATCTGTTTCCATAAAGATTTACAGCCTTGGAAACACAATGGGGGTCACTCCAAGTCAGAATTGACTTGATGGCAGTGAGAGTGAATGAGCATTAAAATCACTCATATATTAGTTTTTTTTTTTTTTTTTTAAATCACTGTTAACTTTTCACTTTATAAAACATAGCATTTCCTGTCTTTGTTCTGGGCATTTAACCTGAATATATTTTAAAGTGATTCATCATGCTAAACATGCTGATTTTGTAATCTACTTTAATTTATATGGTATTTTCCTTTCCAGTAAAAAAGGTGTCTCTATTGTCATTTTAATGAATTCCTAGCATTTCATTGTGTAACAATTTACATACACAAGTCTGAGACCCTTTTGGTGCAGTGTTAAGCACTTGACTGCTAACCAGTAGGTCTGTGTTCTAACCTACAAGCAACTCCAAGGGAGAAAGATGAAGCAGTCCGATTCCATAAAGATTACAGCCTTGGAAACCCTATGGGGCAGTTCTACTCTGTGCCTTAGGGTTGCTATGCATCAAAGTCAACTTGACAACAACAGGTTTCACTGTGTGTGTTTTTCTTTTCTAATAAATCTAAATCCATATTTGTTTTTTTATTTAACACCTGAGATTTTTTATAATTGCTGGACTGAAATACATATTAAAAAACAAGTAAGGTTTTATGATAACTTTTGGCAAATTATGTTCTAGAAAGACTTTTACATAATAGAACAATTCATTTCTCCTGGACTCTCAATGACAATGGGTATTTCCCTTTGGAGGGAGGTGCATGATGCAATAGTTAAATTTTATATGGCATTTGCTCAATAGAATGAGGTTACTGAAGATATATGTTCCTCAGACATTTGTTTATTGATTTTTTGAATTAAATTTATTAGTATGATTGTCTTCATGATGTATAAGCATGCTTTAAATATTAAAGATATTAAAGCTTTGTCATATGATGTATATTTTCTCAGAGTGTGTCCACTTTCCTATTTTATGGAATTTTTGTGACATATGTAACTTTTTCATTTTTATCACTCATTTCTATCTATAGCTCCTTCTGGTTTATGGTTTCTGCCTCTGGTGTTATGCTTATAAAGACAAAATTATATGCATATATACATTCAGCTATATTTTATATTTTGGAAGTTTTCTCCTCCATTCTCATTGCTATAAATTATTCCAATTTAAATAAAAAGTTTAAAAAACTAAATTATTCTAAACTTCAGAGCTACAATAATTACTTGTAAATTCAAACTCACCAAAACTAAAGACAAAGAAAGAATCACCAGTGCAGTCCTCCATGCAGCCCCTTGCTAGCAGAGCCAAGTTTTGGGTTAATTCCTAGGTTCTAACACCAGTTGGCAATACCCAAGTCAATAATTACACTGAATGTCAATGGACTAATGCACCACTCAAGAGATGGAGAGTTGCAGACTGGATAAGAAAACATAACCCATCAATATGCTATGTACAAGTGACAAACCTTACAGACAAAGAGAAAAACAGACTCAAAATCCAAGATGGAAAAAGATTTATCAAGTAAATGGCAACCAAAAAAAGCAGAAGAAGCAGTAATAATTTCTGATAAAAATGACTTTAAGACAAAAACACCATAAAAGACAAGGAAAGACATTATATAATGATTAAAAGATCAACTGAACAGGAAAATATAATCAAAATAATTATCTATGGATCCAATGAAAGAGCCCCAAAACAAATAAATCAGGTTTTAATAGAACTGAAAAGACAAATAAATAACTCCACAGTAATATAACAGTAGGAGACTTTGACAAACCACTTTAAATAAAAAATAAAACTGGAAAGAAACTCAAAAAAAATACATAGAAGAATGAAACAATACAATCTCCCAACTTCACCTTGTAGACATTTACAGAGTACTTCACCCAACAACAGTACAATATACATACATTTCCAGTATACATGGAACATTCTCCATAATAGACTGCCATAGAGCAAGTCTTAGTAAATTTACAAACACTGAAATACTGCAAAGCATATTCTCAGATCACAATGCTATCAAATGATAAATCAACAATAGGAAGATCATTGGAAAAAAGAGCAAACACATGGAAAGTGAACAATACCTCCTTAAAACAACTGGATAAGAGAAGAAATAAAAAATGAAATAAAAAACTTTCTTGAATAAAACAAGAATGAAAACACAACATACCAAAATCTTTGGGACACAGTAAAAGCAGTGATCAGAGATAGATGTGTAGCTATAAATACATACATCAAAAAAGAAGAACCAAAATGAACATTATAAAACAACATTTCCGACAATTAGAAAAAGAACAGAAGAAAAGTCTACAATCACCAGAAGAAAATAAATATTAAAGATTCAAGGAGAAATCAATGAAAGAGAAAGTAGAAAGACAACAGAAAAAGTCAACAAGACTAGAAGTTGGTTTTTTGAAAAGATTAATAAAATGGACAAATCACTGGCAAATTTAACAAAGAAAAAGAGGGACAGAATACAAATAACATGAATAACAAATGAAATGGGTGACATCACAACAGAACCAACTGAAAGAAAAAGGATTATATCAGGATACTATAAAGCACTGTACACATTTGAAAATCTAGAAGAAATGGACAGATCTCTAGAAACACACTACTTACCTAAAATAACACAGACTGAGGTGAAAAAGTTGAACAGGTCCATACAAAAGAAGAAATTGAACAGGTCATAAAACAATTGCCAACAAAAAAAAAAGTCCTGGCCCAGGTGGCTTCACTGGAGAATTCTACCATATATTCAGAGAAGAACTGACACCAATCACATACTCAAAATATTCCAAAA